CTTAAAAAAAACCTGCAGACGTAATGCCTCTTCATTGCTAAATATTTCGGTGTGTATTTCCCCATCACAAGGCCACTATCAGCCTTTGCAGGAACTTAAAAAAAGCTGCAGACATAATGCCTCTTCATTGCTAAATATTTCGGTGTGTGTTTCCCCATCACAAGGCCACTATCAGCCTTTGCAGGGTGGAGTCGCTCAGCCCCTGGGGTTTGCATTCAAACCAACTCTCCCTCTTACTAACTGTGTGCTTTTATGCAGAAGATTTTACTTCTCTGGACCTCAGCTTCCTTATCTATGAATTCAGGGCACCAAGAACACCTACTTCACAAGGCCAATGCGAGAATTAAATAAGATGTCGAGAGCTCATCACTGTGTTTGGGACAAGGAAAGTACACAATAAGTAAATCAAAGTGTGCTTTGCTAGAAGGCCGTATTTTTTTTTTCCTTGAAGTGGTTCGAATTCCTTGTGTTGCCTTTCTCCTTCTTCTTATGGCCAATTCTCATAGGAAAACAACAAGACAGGTTCTGTCATTCATTCACCCCTCATTTATTGAGCACCTACCCTGAGTGTGACCCTATTCTTGGCACTGAGATACAGCGGCAAACAGGACAGATGCAGTTCCTGTCCTTACAGCTTGTGTTTGCATGATGGAGACAGACAGTGGACACGGAGCAAAAACATGAAACATTTCAGTGCATTGTAAATGCAACGAGGAAGAGAAAACTGAGCCACTTGGGATCAGGGGGCAGGAGGGGACTCCTTTGGTCAGGGTACCCAGAGAAGAATACTTAGACGAGGTGAAAGTACTACTAGATCCTTTTAATCTGAGAAAATGCCTTCTGGGAAAATGTTGCTCAATAAATGTTTTCTTCATGAAACGCATCGCCCCGGCGGGGTGTGTGAGAGCTTTCAGTCCTCCCCAAAGAACATAACAATGGGAACACGCACTCCTCTACCACTTGCTCAGAGCCATGGACTTTTCACCCATTATCCCATCAGCCTTCCTGGACTCCCTGTGAGGTAGGGACTATTAGCCTCATTTTACAGATGAGAAGACTGAGGTTCAGAGAAACAAGTTCATTTGCCCAAGATCAAAGAAAAAGTAAGGAGGGGCCCTCTGAATGCACCTAGCACCCAACCTCCACCCAGGACCACAGTGTGGACCCCTTACTGCTGGCAGGTTGAATTTGAGGCAAGAGCACTGTGCTAGGAGTCAGAAGGCACAGCAGTAACCTGGCTCTGCAGCCTGTGAGCCGTGGAGTCTCGGTACAGCCCTCCGCAGCACAGAACAGTACTGGATGGTCCCTTGGGTCCCCTCCCACCATGACAAGTGGGTTCACTTGGTTTTTTTCTTCCTTGGCCTCCTCTTTGATGGAGAAAAGTAACACACGAGGGAAGAGAAGTAGGAGGATAACAAATGAGCTGCAGGTATGACCCGTACCTGGTGATTACACCTTGAGCCAGAGAGTATGTCTGTCTCAGAGAGGGGCGCAGAGGGGAGAGGTGACTCTTTTGCCTCATGACATCCAGCCTAGGGCTTTGCTCACAGTAGGGACTCAAGCCCTGCTCTTGTATAAACAAGAGCATTTGTTCTATGCCAATTAAAAAAGCCGTGACATTATTTATGAGCACATCCCATGCAGTGCGCAAACAGTGCCTGCTGCGACATGCTAGTCTATTCCAGGACTCCTGTTTTAAGCAGGCCATGAGATATTTGAACAGTTCCAAACAAGGCTGCGATTAGCTCTCTGTATTCGTTATCTGTTGCTGTGTGATAATGTTACCACACACTCGGTGGCTCAAAACAACACACATAATTATCTCATGGTTTCTGTGGGTCAGGAGTGCAGGCATGGCTTAGCTGGGTCCTCTGCAAGGCTGCAGAAGAGATGTTGACCGGAACTGCAGTTTCACCTGGGGCCTGACTGGGGAAGAACCTGCTTCCTTGATCATATGATTATTGGCAACATTCAGTTTTCTGTAGACTCATTTTCCCACCGCCTGCGGGCTGGAGCTCACCTTCGGTTCCTCACCACATGACCCTCTTCATAGGCAGCTCACTATATGGCATCTTGCTTCTTCAAAGCCAGCAGGGAAGAGAGTCTCCTCCTAAGATAGGCGTTGCAGTCTTATGTAACATGACCACATACACATTATCACATAGACCCCATCACTTTGCGGTATTCTGTTGGTCAAAAGCATGTCATAGGCCCTGTCCGCACTCAGGAAATTATGCAAGGGTGTAAATACCAAGAGGAGGGGACTATGGGGGCCACATTGGCTCACCCCCTGAACAGAGTGATCAGAATGTTGAAAGCCCTAGAAATCCTGGAGAATGAAGAACAGTTGAAAGCATTCGAAAGTTTAACCTGGGAAAAAGGAAAATAATAATAATAACAAACACTCATATTGCTTTAATTGACAACTTTTTACATAGGAGCTCACTTAACCTTCATACAGCCCTGTAAGGTAGATACTATTATCATCCCCGTTGTGCAGATAAGGGAACTGGGGCACAGATAGTTCAAGTAACATGCCAAGTTGACACAGCTACCGAGCAGTGTTGCTAGGAGTGGAACCCAGGCAGTCTGCCTCCTGAGTTCACGCCTAGCAATGACTGTCAGTCATTAGAAGATGATGTTGAGTTTCCCCGCAAAGATGCTGAGACCAAAGAGTAAAAGCTATTCAAGTGGTAGATTTGGGGCCTATCAAAAGCTCTGAGTCCTCATTGTCGGGGCACAATTGTCCAGGGTAGACTAGGCAAGTGTGCTCCTGTGTGCCCCAGTCCTCACCACTCCCTGTTGTCTCTTCGATTGAGGCCACGGGTCTGTCATTGCTCATACATACATACCCATATACCTTGAACTCCTAGGCCAGGCATTCAGGCATATAAACCTGTGGTCACAGGAGAAGCAAAGGAGGAGCTAAGCTTTAGTGACCA